ATCATGATAATGATGTTACACAACTGTATACCCCTGTCAAAACTCATAGAACTGTATACAAATAGGGTCTAATTTACTACCCATAAATTATACTTCAATTACAAAAACATAAATATGAAAAAATGCATAGTGGGAAGAGCCTGGGCTTTTAGTCAAATAGACATGGAATGGTTCAATCATAGCTCCACCATTTTACTATCTGTGTGATCTCAGCCAAGTTACTAAATTCTCTGCATCTCTGTACTCTGACAGGCACAAGGGGGAATGATACCTACCACAAAGAGATACAGCAATTGATAAATAAGAAAAAGTATATGAATCATTTATGGTTATGCAATCTAGTATCATGGCCACTAACCACATATGCCTACTGAGCACTTGAAATGTGGCCATTGGGACAAAGGAAATGATTTTTAACTGTATTTGAATTTAATTAATTCAATTGAACTTCAATTTAAAAACTGATACCCAATTTTTTTATTGGCAAACTTTTAAGTATGTGTGGAATAACGTGGGTATCTGAATCTTCTTTTTCTACTCTAAATTAGATGAAATGTAAATACTGATCAAGTATTTCTGATGAAAATTTAGCATATGAATCAAGATGTGTGGGAAGTGTAAAATACACCCAGAATTTTGCAGATTCACCATGGAAAAATATAAAATATCTCATTAGTATTTTTCAAAAGGAACACATACTAAAATGATGATATTTTAGATAATTTGGTTCAATAAAATATATTATTACAATTAATTTCACCTCTTTGCTATTTAGAATGGGAGTAGTAGAAGATTTAGAACTGCATCTGTAGCTTGTATTATAGATTTATTCAATAATGCCAGTCTAAGGCATTGTCTCGTATGCTGTTATTGTTATAATGAGGTACAAGTTGGATGCTTAATATCCAGGAAAATATTGAAAAAAATGCATCTGACTAGCAGCTCAGAGCATGTTTCTGTAATATAATTGAGGGTGTTGGAAAGAATATTTGTTTCTTGATTTATCCGTGGAAAGCAACTAAGAAGAAATGTATTTTAGAGTTAGTGATGTGAAGAAACCACAACAAAGCTCTATGTGAAAAGAGTATCATAGAATAATGGCGAACACACATAATAGATTACATTCATTGTCAACACCAGACTTGTTTTGATGGAATGGGCTCTGACGCCTTAAAAAAAGAGATTATTATTTGGCCTTCAAGAATTATTTTCTCACCTGATTATGTAATTACAGCCATGACAATATTGTATTTTGAAGCAGGCATTAAAGAAAGAACGAGAAGGAGATCGCTACAACACACCAGGAAACAATGTCTCTGCTTTACTTGGTTTTAAGACACTCAGTAGGGTGGATTCCCATTGGTTTCCAAGGTCTTTTAGGTACAAGACCTATAACATGAATTCCAAATAAGTTCCCATTTTCTTTGTCCCCATTTTCTGTGGCCAGGAAGACACTTGAGAGGGCCATGTGCAAGATGGAGTGACACACTAGTAAGTAGATTTAAGTGGCTGTGCTCATCCTGAGCCACCTCACATCCGGGTTACTGAAAGGCATCCCTGACATTTCAGACAAGGTTAAACAAGTATAATCTCCTATCATATTATAATATAAAGTTAAACATTAACTTGGCATGTGGGACTGCATCATGCATCTAAATATAATTTGCTAAGTATGTAGATGTAGGGGAAAATCACAGAGAAATGTTAGCCCATCAAATAAATGCCCAACTCTTCAATCCAGCTCTTTAGTAGTATATTTACAATATTTATCCCCAGTGTTCCCTGAAGTTGCTCCACATTCCAAGAAAACGGGCATCTACTCATCAGACTCTAGTTCTAATCTCATGCTGAGATTCCACCAGGCTTGTCTTTCTCTCAAGCTCCATTAACTCATCCGTTAAGCCAGCCCACTTATGGGTCTCCCCAAATTCCTTGAGTTAGAAACCTTGTTTCTACAGATCCTACAACATGGAAAGTCATAGCTTTAATACAAGTTAGTCTGTGATCACTAACTACTCTAATAGAATCATGTGTCTTTCCAGTAGATTGTGAGTCTCATGCACTAACCACATCTCATCAAACAAAATATACTCTATGAAAGTGTATTCATTTAGTTGAATTGAATGTTAAAGCTTACTAGTTTTCCCAGCTGCATCACTCAAGGGCATTCAGAGTCCAGAAAAATTATAGTCTCTCTGCTAACTGGCCATATGGTACACTATCTCAGTTTCTATGAGAATCTCCACTGAAGAAGGTTAAAAACTAATGACCCCTAGAGACCAATTAAATTTAGCTTTATTTCCAAATCACAGAATGCATCTCCAGGTGCAAAATAGCATCACCCTCTAAAAACTCTCAATATGGTCATAGTCTAGGTAGTGTTAGGATACAGTTTATTCCCTTGGTATTAAATGCCTTATAGAATCTGAAATCCAACCACTTATCCCACACTCATTCTTATACCTGACAATCATCTATTCTATGCAATTACATTGGCTAGCTCACAGTCTTGCAAATCTACACCATCCACCTAGATCTTGGCTCATGCCATTCTCAAAATATGGAATGCCCTCTACTTCTTCCTTCCCAGGGCAAAATGACTGATAATAAGATTGGTAACATTGCAAAAAAAAAGAACTGGGCATGTACAGCTCATCCCCATGTTCACTATTTTTAGGGCTCTGCCTGCAAAGATCACATTCTCTGTACCTCACTACAACGGTGTTATAGGAAGAGGCTTCCACAGGAAAGCATTTACTATTTTCTGCATGTGACTGGATGGGTGTGTCCAGTTCTAGGATGCAGTATTAGCAAGCCCACTCTCTTCTATATAACTTTTACAAAGCCATAAAGCTGACATCTGATCTCTATTTCTCTCACCCTTTTTCTATGTCTCAACTGATTTCAATCTAGGCAAGTAAAAAAGGAACTTTGTTCACTGACTTCCTCAAAGTCCAACAAGCTAGATGGCCGGCTTCCTGAGGGTACAAACTAATATCTCTCCTCCTTTCTGCATGGACGTTAACACAAAGTAGGGGTACAATGAACTTTGATAAAATTAAATGGAGATCAAGCTCAAAATAACTGGTTTTAGGGAAGTCGCCTTGCCAGGTAGGTCTTCCTTCTCTATAGATCAAATGACACTATGCATTTTCCCCAATAACACTGAAAATGCAAGACTGCCTTCAGCAAGACAAAAACGATTACATGTATCTAGGTATATTCTTCATTTTGATCCTTGCTCTACTTCAGATCAGAGTATCTCACTATTCACAACGACCAAGGAGTTTTAGGTGCCCTTGATTAGGAAAGGAACGGCACAGTGCCAAACTCACCTGACTTATCAACAGGGCCAGAGACATAGGGACTTCTCAACTGAAGGGTCATTTGCAGCAATGCCTACCCTGTCTTACTGGGGTCTAACCACAGGAGTATGAGTGATCCTCCTACCTCTACAGCCTCACTATGCAAACAGGAACTTGGTTTGGAACACTGGTTGGAATGGCCTGAGTCCTGGGAACATTGCATCCAAACCTTCCCACTAGCTGTGACTTACTGCCTAATTGCAATGTATATTTCTTCTTCCAGGTATGAAGAGAGGCATGGAAATGTAAGCTTCTCAAGCCCTTTACATACCTTAGTCATCTTTACCCATTTTCATAACTCTAAGAAAAAATCTGGGCAGTTTTCCAAACTGGGACCTTGTTGTTAAGGGAATTCTTTCGGCACTTGTCAACTGTCTCCTAGGAAATCACAGTATTTCTACTGATTTTATTTTTTACCACCAATGACATTCACTTTTTTCTCTTTTTATATGTACTTGTATTCACCCCAGACTTTTGTGTAACCCTACCTAATAAAATAACTAGAATCTTATACTGCCTCTACTGCTCTCAGTAACTGAACAGCCAACTTAGATACCAATACAGGGATGCTGAAACATTGATGCGCACTGCTCAGAAGAGACCACTGTAAAGTAGAAGGGCCTGCACTGATCCCTCTCTTCTAAAAGCCACTCCTACTCCTCAAAGATGAATACTCCTAAGGGAGCAGCTCACCCACAGCATCTGAAGCTACCACTCATGACAGACCATTTCTCCCACCATGAATCAATGACCTCAACCAGTCAGTTGACCACTAGTTACTAGTGAATGCTGGATAATGAAATATCCCCTTTACCCAAATCAACCCATCATACCAAGGTGGGCACTGTAGTCAGGACCATCAAAGGTCATACACTGCCACTAGAGATATAAAAAAGTACCATAGCCTTAGGGTCACTGAAACAATTAGTTTTTTTTCTCTAGTTCCTATGAGGAGTCACTTGTTTCCCTAGATAAATTATCCTTTAACTGGTAATTGCATTTAAAAACAAGCTTCAATATAACTTAAAACTCAGTAAGGCGATGCTCATATAAAACAACAACAATAACAATTCAACATAAGTCAAGGCCCATTCTTTCCCCTGCAAAGAGGTTGGTATCTGGTGGCATTTTAGGGAAACCTTCATTCCAAGCACTGATATTCACTCCTCTTTTCCTATAAAATTTGTTCATAAGGAAGTAATTTTCCAAATAATTTAGCATATATAAGTAGATATATGCCTCCACTCAGAGTCCATAGAGTTGAAAGAGAGACTTAAGTGAACCTATCTGGGTCAAATACCTGCATGTCTGGCTTGCAATCATGCTCATACACACAAGAATATCAACTTCAGCTAACATTTGTTAAAGCTCACTGAGTCAACCACCACACTGGATGCTCTACATACATTATCTCTCCTTCTCACAACCACCTCATTAGGCAAATTTCCCCTGTTTTACTGGTGACGAAGTTGAGGCACAGCGAAGTTAAGTGCCTTGCCTGAAGTCACACAATTGCTAAAGGGTGCAGCTGAGATCTGAACCCAGGACTAGTTGACAGCAAAGCTTGTATTTATACCATGAAAATTCATGAAAAAGAGAGGCAGATCCAGGTGCAGTATAGTCTTGGCTACATACCTCATACAATTCAATAATAATGTTTCCCATTAGACCTCGGCTACTCTTAATGTTCTCCATGGCCAGGGTGAAGTAGATGCCACGCGTGTCTGAGATGTAGAGGTTGTACGTGTCATTCTGGTTCCATTCTTGGACTGCTGCAAACACTTGGTTCTCATTGGTACTGATGATGTGCATGTCCTATAAGAAGATGGAAAACTTGTAAGGAGGCAGATCTCCATATCTCTCTGCCCACTGGGACCCAGAGTAATTACCATGACTTACTGAGAGGTTGAGAAAATGCCTGAGTTATAGGCAACGTTAAACAATTCTGTGTCGGACCAAGGCTATAAATTAAGAGCTTCGTGATTTCTGTTCCTTGCTAAGTGACAATAAGATGGGTGTAAGGGGCTTTGGTGGGTATCATTTTCCATGGCTCTGAGGGATTCATCCACTTTCATTTTTTATTTTTGTATCTGAAAGTTAGTGTTAGTGCTAACAGAGACACACAGCCTTGCAAGAGGAAACACACATGCAAAGAAGATAGGGCTTATCCCTTCTCTAGATCTTCCTTTATGTTTTCAAACTTTTTAGTGTAGTGGTTTCGAAACTCATCTTTAGAATCTTCAAAGTCATGGGGATTGCAAGAAGGATGGCATGGAGGCATAGCCAATAAGTGGGATTCTGGGCTTCCAACTCTGTTTCAACCAGACCAATACCATCTGAATCTGTTTTAATACTGGAGTTCCATGTAATATTTTGGGAGTAAAAGGTGAGGGAGGTTCTCCTTCCAATAAAATAATATTTGAAAATCACAGATATAGCATAAAGGATATTGAACCTGGAATTTAGTGTTCTGGGTCATAACAGAAGCTCTGCTAGAGTTAACTCTGTGGTGTGGAATGTATCTTGGTCCCTGAGTTTTAATTTTCTCATCAAAATACTAAAGAGGCTGGGCTACTGATAAAAAACAGCTAACACTTGAGCACTTATTCTAAGTCATAAAAATATATTATTTTAGTGAAAAATCCAAATAATTCTACTGTGGAGACAGTAGTATTCCCATTTTATTGAGGAATAAACTAAGGTACACAGAGCTTTCCCATCTTGTTTCATATTACATAGCTGGTAAGTGGAAGAACCAAGTTCTGAACCTTTGTAGTAGGAGTCTAACCTAACTATTAGCTTCTAAGCATTTGGACAGACAGCCTCCAGAAAAGAAGTCCAATGACCCAGGAGATGAATAAGAATCACAAATATTTGGTTTGACCACAGCTCCTGTTGAATACATGACAGTACAGTCTTTTAGGTAAAGTCAGCACTTCACAAAGCCTCAGCCTCAAGTACCCAAATATTCTTATGACCTGCCACTTACATATTAACTTCCTGGTCCCTGATGTCAATTTAGTTTGTATACTTGGACTAAATCATTTCTAAAATCAAATCTAATCAGTTCACAATTTAAAAAAATTTATCAAAGCCAGTTTTTTTTTTTTAATTTTTAAATGGTTTTATTTATTTGTGTGTGTGAGAGAGAGACAGTGTGAGCGGGGGGGGGGGGGGGGCTCAGAGAGGGAGGAGATACAGAATCTGAAGCAGGCTCCAGGCTCTGAGCTAGCTGTCAGCACAGAGCCTGATGCAGGGCTTGAACCCACAAACTGTGAGATCACGACCTGAGCCAAAGTCGTACGCTTAACCGACTGAGCCACCCAGGCGCTCCAAACTCAGTTTTCATATATGGCTAGGCAATGTACAAAGAGTATCATGAACTCAAGTCCTTCTCTAAGGAATCTGCACTGTCAGGAGGAAATGTTGACACAGATAAACAGTTGACATAATGGAAGCAGTTAAAAATGCATTAATATACAGATATATAATGCAAAGAGTAATGGCACCTTGGGAAAGAAGGAGAGGACCCTTGTCACTGCTCATAGTAGAGCACAGGCAATTGGAGTTGACAGTAAGTAAATCTCCAAGCTGGGTCTAGGTTTTACCTTATCAGGCCAACCCTTCCCAGAAATGATTTTAGCAATAAAAGGAGGTAGCAATGTCTATAATGTCACAACTATGGAGAGCGTCTCCCAAGATTTGAAAAAGGAGAAGTTCATTTGATTTGGACAACTAGGAGGTGGGAAAAGTGAGAAGAGTTCTGGATCTCTTTAATAGACAATCTGCCAGATCTCAGCCTCTGGCCTTGAACTCCCTAGGTCGCCTTGACTAAGACCTCACTAGCTCATTTGTGCTTACACACCTTATAGAATTACAGGTTCCTGCTGAGCTGCTTGAAAATGGAAATAAGGCTTCCTCTTAAACACCATGTGGTGAAATTGTGTTGTGTTGGTGTGGAATGAAAGCCCAAGAACCCAGTAGGAGGGGAAATAGCAGCTGCAGGAAATACGAATTAAATTCACTTACCCTGTTAAAAATGCAATAGAAATGCCGGGCTTTTCCCAGATGTTTTGGTTATAAAAATGAATGAGCTAAGTTATTTTAGACTAAACTAATGTAAAATAAGTGGAAAAAAACAACTTAAAACACTGGGGCCTGGTCAGGATTAAAGGCAGGAAGATTTGCTGTGAATGCATCTTAGTTTGGAGCTGTCGTGGGGTATATCACTTGACCAATGGGTATGGCAGTGTCTGGGTGAGACAGTGCTCTCTAGCACCTAGGATTCTGGGACATCTGCTTGCAAAATTCTTAATATCCCTAAGTCATTTCACTAATAAATGATATTACTAAGATTTAAGCCCAAGACTAATCTGAATCAAGACACTAACCTCCATATCAGGGGGGGAGTATAACTCAATAGGCATCAAAATTACCTGCAGATTTTAACAGCATGTGGACTCATATGTCCCACCGCCTGCGGTTCTGATTCAGTACGTCTGGTTGTGGAGTCTTAAATTCTACCATGTGAACCAGCCGTCCAAACACTCCAGGTGCATGCAGTCTAGGGAATCATTCTTTGAAAAAGCTCTGAACTATGTGTCCTCTCTCCAAGTAGATTTTACAGTTGAATAGGGTTCAACTAATAAAAACCAGAATATTAAGTCTTCAAGAACAAATAAAAGTATTATGAGTATTACTGGTCTAAAAGAGATCTGATGATAATAAAGCCTATTTCTTGAATCCTGTGATCTCAAGCTAACTCCAAAGCATGTGTCACCTTCTTCTAAGACAATGAAGACATTCTTGCTACTCCTGAGAACGTGCAAGGAGAGATCTGACCCATGATGAAGAAAGAAACCCAAGACAGCAAAAGGCAGTAAGTAAATTCTGATTGGGACTTTACTAAACTGGAATTTGGGCAGCATCAGACTTAACCACACTCATGGTTTTTATTTGGAAAACAATTATAAATAACACTCCCTCTAACCCCTCCTACCATTAATTTGGAAGAATCATAGTTGCCTTTCACAAACCTAAACGTGAGACTTCATAGGTGAACAATGGTGGAAATACTTCCCCGTGACTGAAACATTTTCGTGTAATCTGGGCTGTCTGTAACTTCATTCGTTATAAAAACACATATGTTATTCAGCATCTGCCATGTGCCAAATGTTATAATAGGAATACAGAGAGGAAGATGTAGAACCTAGCCTCAAGCAGATGCCCAGTGGTGCTGGGGACATCACTCACTCTTGGGCTTTTTTATTTTTTTAAAGGGTTTTAATGTTTATTTTTTATAGAGACAGAGACAGAGACAGAGCACAACCGTGGGAAGGGCAGAGAGAGAGGGAGACACAGAATCAGAAGCAGGCCCCAGGCTCTGAGCTGTCAGCACAGAGCCCAACATGGGGATGGAACTCATGAACTGCAAGATCATAACCCGAGCCAAAGTCAGACGTTTAACCGACAGAGCCACCCAAGCGCCCCAACTCTTGTCCTTTTGTGAACTTGACTAAAGTCCCTGATACAAGTATTGACAGGAAGGGGTGGTAGGCCATCCAAAGAAATGTGTGGAATTTGAATGGCCTGAAGGCAGTTTTCCCCTGAGGTAGGTGAGGACAGACAGTGACTACATCATAAGGGGTTGTGCATGGCACACCCAAGTTTTACCCAGAAGAAAATACAAAACTAGCACAAGATCTTAAGCAAGAGAAAAGAATTAGAGTTGATCAGTGCAGAGATTTGGCTGGGGAAGACCAGGTGCATTGTGTGATCTCATTCTTCATGGGTGCAGTGTGAAAGGTGGATTTTAGTGGGGCAGGGAGGAAGGCTTACGAGGTCACTGTAACAATCTACAGTGATGCATGGGGGCCTGAACTAAGGAAGCAGGTATTCTATGAGAATCCTATGAAATGGATTGGTGAGATGTTAAGAGAGCAGAACCCACAGGGGGATGAGGAAAAATGGTATAACTTTAATATATCAGATATCTGATTGACAAAACTCTGCTTCTTTTTAGCATGCTCATACAATCATAATTAAATACTCATAATTAAATACTTGTGTAATCATTTAGTTTATATCTGTCTCTCTCATTAGACTGTAAGCTCCTAGAGGGCAGACACTGTGTCTTTCTTATCACTTCATTTCTAGCACTTACTAAGTATCTCGCACATGGTAGATAACCAATACAAATTTTTGTCTGAATGAATAGATGGACTAAGTAAACACAGAAAAAGGATGAAATACTAGGGATAGAATATAGAAACTCTGAGCTCAGTTCCAGATTTTTACAATCAGATCATTCAGGGAAGGTACTTCAAATAGGTAGTTGGAAATACAGTCCAGGGTTCAATGGATATGGATGCGGCTGTGGATATAAATGTTACCAATATGAAGAGAAGCGTTGAGGAACCATGCAGAATATAAAGAGAACTTAGGATCCTCAACATTTAAAGGGTGGCAGGGGGAGGGGATCCAGAAAAGGAAATCAGAATAAAATACTCCAAAGGAAAGAGTATCAGGCATGGATTTTTTTTTTTTCCCCGAACAGTGTCAAATGCTACAGAGGAGTTAAAGAAAAAGGAGTTATATAAATGTCTATTGGATTTGCCATGGAGTTGGTCCCTGGTAACAATGGCTTGAGGGTTTTTGGTGGAATAGAGGAGAGAGGACTGTGGGAGAGCACAGAGGGGCTGGCAGTGGACTGAAGGGTGGATAGGAAGTGACAAAAGAGATTAGAATTACAGATAACATTTTAAGAAGTATGGCTGTGATGCAGCAAAGAAGGATAAATCAGTATTTGGGGAAATGTAAAAATTAAGGAAAATTGTCCTAAGGAAATTAAGGAAAAGGTTAATGTCATTGTCATTATCATTATAATAAATTTTCTCAAGCATATTTCCCTTTCCTCTCTTTTATTATTCAAAATGGGATTAAACATATTCTACTGTCAACTAAAAGCAAATCCTGACTTAGGTGAGGAGAGACTTTATTTGCAAAGACTACTGCAACACGGAGAACAGTCTGGCTGTCATATCTACAAGTCCCCCAGAGGGAAGGCAGAAACGAATTGCTTTTATGAAGTAATTAGAAAATAAAACAAGGCTAGAGAGAACTGAGTGTGGGGAGCAGGGGGAGCAGGTGGTCCCAGGGAGGGCCACTGGAAAGAAAACTGTCTTCTTTACAGTCAGGTCAGGTGATTTTCAGAAGGGCTCTTAACAGAGGCTGTTGTGCATTCCAGTGACTGCTATAGTTTGCCTCTGCTCAAGAGTGGGCAGAGTTCATGGGTTTGGGAGAAGGTGAAAACCCAGACTTAGTGTGATTAAGTAAAATCAGCCCACATTTTGTCCAGATTGGTCAGTGGGGACAAAGAGTTCAGGTAATCATTTATGAGATACAGAAGGGGAAGTTGGTCTTGTCAAAGCTAAATAGGCAGGCACTTAGCGAGGCACCCAGGGAAGAGTGGTTCTCTGCAGCCAGCCACTTCCAGCAACACAGCAGAGTGGGGGAACTTCTTAAACCTTTCTGTTCTCCAGCAGCACCCGGCTCAGTAATGTCCAATGGTATTATGATGCCCATTTCACAGATAAGAAGACCTGGCCTGTGAATAAGCAAGCAGTAGAGCTGGAAAGAAGGCTCAGAGCTTCTTGCTCAGAAGCTCCATTGCCTGTTCCCCAGCCTGGCACGGCTCCCTGTCATCTGCCTCTTCACCCTTGCTGCTGCGTGCCTCCCATGCCAACCTGACACCCAGGAACTGCTTCTGGAGGACTCTATACAAGGTTGCTGCTCGTAATAATGCCACTTGTTATTAATGGTGTTCATTTTGTTCTCTGCAAAATACTCCAAGCCACGGAATGCCCAAGGAGAGCACGTTCTGAACAGACAGGCTGGGAGGAGAGGTGTGAGGGCAACGATGACATGGAGCTTCTCCTTGTTTTTGTTTTTAAGCAAGAGGCCCAGCAGCAGCCACAGCTCATGGAACAGCAACAACTTGCTTAAAAGCCATTTCCATTTTTAAACACTTCCACCCCCTCTGTCCTCACCTCCTCAGCCTAGGCTATGAAAATCTGAGCCAATGCTGGCTAATAAAGGGGATCGATAATCATCCAGCTATTTTCACAGCGGCCCTCATATTAATGAAGCTGCTCTGGATGAAGTCCTATAAAAGGGGCTGCACGGATGGTACTCCACCACAATAAATTGCCATGGGGTTGCTGATCATTAATGGAGTGCTCTGGCGTTCTGATCAATCCCAGGCTTCATTTGTCCCCACCTGCAGCCACACTGCCCAGGGGAGCGAACTGTTTGTTTTCCTCAGAAGGCTGAGAATACATAAAATATGCACACAATACAGAGACAAAACAGGCCTTCCACTGGGGATATAGTTTGGAAAGTTCTTGAAATACTTCTCCTGTGCCAATACATAGAAATCATCAAGTTACTGCAAGGAATCTTTCTCCTTCAGAAAGAGCATGATTATGACCTTCCACTTCCTCATCTTCTGCAAGCAGGGATACCATTTTCCTGCTTGGGTTTAGACCATCTGATGGGTACATCCTGCAACCACAAAGCTACATAATGGTCTCATTCAAGCCAATCACAGCAAAGGTGGAGAAAAGTGAGAAACTGATTCCCGTGGCTCCTGAGGCTGCTTTATACGGTCCCTGTTCATCTCATCAGCCTCTCCACCTCTCTCTCTCTCTGCAACCCAGTCTCTTGAGATGGTATTTTAATTTGTTGAATGAACCATATTATCTCTCTTAAAATAGGGCCTGTGCATATATTTTCTATTGGCTTCCCAACCCTTGCTTGAAGGGTTAACCCCTTAACCCTCTTGCATCAGCTTAAATATTACTTTTCTTTAGGAAACTTGTCCTCACATCCATTTTAGGTAAGTTCCACCTATCACGTCACAATGGCCCTTGGGCTTCTATCCCCCGAATACTCCTTATACCTACAATTGTTTATTCAGTGTCTCTCTTCCCTACCAGAATATAAACTCCACAAAGGTAGGGACCATTTGTGGCTTATTTACTACTTTATCCATAGAGCTTAATTTAGTGCCTGGAACAGAATAAAATCTTAAGTGGGAGAAAGAGCAGTTCAATGGGTGAATAAAAGAAGGTGCAAATGAATGAATGAATTTAATCATGCATATATGAATAAATGCATGACTAAAACAACCAGTGGATAGACAATTATGCACCTTTTTATCCCATAATCCTCCCCACCTCTGTACTTTTAGTTTTTTTTTCCCAGTACCAGCCTACAGACCCAAATCTTTGCAACATTATATCCGACCAGAGACTAAGCTTTTTTGCAGCTTCATTAGGTGAGGCAACTGCATCCTGTCCATGTTCAGATTGAGGTTCTAAGATCCATCTTCTCCCAAAAGCCATTGTTCACAAGGGATGGAGCCCACAGGGTAAGTTTTATAATTTTCCAGTAGAGGAGTTAACATGCCATCATCTGATATTATATTAAACTACTCCTTTTTTTAAACTACTCATAGTGGCAGAAGGGAGCAGAAATACAGGCAGTGCATTTATATTTAGCATTAAAATGTAGAGAGAAACAGGAACACTACAAGACTCACCTGTGCACCTTTATGCATACATAATATATACACATACATATACCTATATATATGGCATTTGGGCTTCTGCATGGGCGCTTCTGAGCCTGTCCCTCTATTTGGCAGTAAGGCACTTGCAAGAGGGAGGCGACCCCCAAAAGAGATTGAGTATTAGCTCTCCTTTCCCTATGGCCCTTGGGAAATGACCCCAGTCTATACAGGATGTTTGAGACACAGGGAATCAAAGCTCTCGCCTGCATAACCTGCTGAAAGGGGAATGCAGAACCGGTGTTCAGGAACATCAGCAGAGGCCAGCCCCCAGCAGTGGTAGGTCAGGCTGAATGCCAGCTGTCTCCTAGGCAGAAGTCAAACCTCCCCACGGCCCAACATGGCAGTCTCTCCTTGCTGCTCTGTCTGTCAGGACCCATGACAGTGGGTTGTGCATACCTTGGGCAGTGAGTACTTGGGCAGCTTTATTTGGGCGAAGGCCTCTCTTCGATAGGACACGTAGTAGCTGGCTCTTCCACCAGTTGTTACCTGGATCACAGGGGAAACACAAAGTCAGATGGGGCCAGGGGTCATGGTCAAGTTGGAAAGGACTAGCTGCTCCATCAACAGCCACAATAGGTGTGTGATAACCTTTTAGAGAATATCCCTTGCTGGCAATGAGCCTCCAGTCCCACAGCACTGAGTTGCTCCCACAATGTGGCACTTAGAGAACAAATGAACAATTACAACAGTCTTTCCCAATGGTTGACACTTTCTATGAGAGCAGGGACTCTGTATTTGGTCACTGTGCTCTGTGTACATACACACCTAATAAGTATTTGTAGAAAACAGAAGCTATGACATGGGATGGACCCAGGATCTATTTATTCTGCCTTAAAAAAGTTTTGAATCCAATGCAATCATGACATGATTGTGAAATGAATTTTTTTTCTGAATCTAAATAATTACTATTGCTCAAAATCTCTTGTTACTTTGAAATTAATTTCACCTCTGATCCAAGCACATTTTTTTTTCCTTCCTACTTACAAATTTATGCACTGAGCAGGTATGTTTTGATCCATTCCATGTGCAAGTTATTTAAAGGAATCAGAGGAAGAATTCTATATTGGAAAGTGAGAAATCCTGGGTTTGAGTCCCAGCTCCTCTATTTGATGGCTAGGGGAGTCAAGCTCTGTAATCTCACTTGGGGAGGAAAGGAATCCTACAGGAACCTGTAAACGACTCTGAGAAATGGTCTGGCCTGGGCTTGTTGAAAAGTCCTGCCAACATGGCACAGTTCTGCACATGGCTGCTCTCAGGCCAATCACCCTAACTTGGGGGGAATTAATATTCACAAGAGAAGATACCACAGACTCTTCAGAGAAAATAACAGGACAACAATAGCAACCCGGCCACTGTGCTGAAGAGACAATTAATGGAGGCACCAGCTCCGTTCTCACCAAGCACTTGCTGGAGACAGGCCAGCCCTCCCAATCCAGTCCCAACCTGGCGCCCATCCACAGCGAGGAGCAGGAGAGGTGTCACATCTCTATTGAAAGCCACCCATCGCTCCTCACTCCAAGAGAGGGCTTCTCCCACAGTCCCCCTTGTTCTGCACAGATTGGAAGACCACAAAGCAGGCACAAGCCACCAGGTAGAGCAAATGTTAGAGTCTGTGGGGAGGCAGAACCTTGGGAAAAAGTTGGAGCAAAGACAGGCTATGAATCGAGAGGAGAGACTGGTTTCATCCCCAGTGTTGAGTGCTATACTTACATCTCTATTTCTTCATTAGAGCCATACATGTTTTGTATTCCAGGACTTTTGGTTTGTTTGTTTGTTTACTTTGGGTTTTTTTGTTTGTTGATAAAGACATCCGTTCTGAATCTTATATTGTGCTGCAGTGGCTTAGAGATGAGGTATTCACACATTAAGATCAATGAGATGTTGAGTAGTTTTTTCCTTTTTAAAATAAATCTCAGCTGCATAGAATCAGATTAAAACATAATCTTTGGGAAATCCTGCCATTTGCAGCAACGTGGATGGATCTGGAGAGTACTATGCTAAGTGAAATAAGTCAGTCAGAGAAAGACAGATACCATATGTTTTCACTCATGTGGATCTTGAGAAACTTAACAGAAGAGGGGGAAGGGAAGGGGGAAAAAGTTATAGAGGGAGGGAGGCAAACCATAAGAGACTCTTAAACACAGAGAACAAACTGAGGGTAAAAGGGGTGTGGGGAGAGGGGAAAGTGGGTGGTGGGCATTGAGGAGGTCACTTGTTGGGATGAGCATTGGCTGTTGTATGGAAGCCAATTTGACAGTAAATTATATTAAAAAAAATATAATCTTCGGCACTAGACACACAGTCACCAGTAGTCCTTGTTTGATCCTATTTGTTTGTTTAATTTCATTTCATTTATTTAAATTCCAGTCCAGTTAAAATAAAGTGTTATATTAGTTCAAGGTGTACAATATAGTGACTCATCAATTCTATATATTCCTCAGTGTTCACTAAAGTAAGTGTCCTCTTAATCCCCTTCACCTATTTCGCCTGTGACCCTACCCACCTCCCATCTGGCAACCATCTATTTGTTCTCTATAGTTAAGAGTCTATTTTATGGTTTTTCTCTTTTTTTCTGTTCATTTGGTTTCTTTCTTAAATTCCACATATGGGTGAAATCATATGCTATTTATTTTTCTCTGACTGACTTATTTAATTTAGCATTATATCCTTGGATCCATCCATGTTGTTACAAATGGCTAGACCTCATTATTTTTATGGCTGAGTAATATTCCATTATATACATATAAATATTTTGTCTATATACATATATATGTACACATATATGTACATATATACCACTTCTTTATCTATTCATCTACTGATGGACACTTGGGCTGCTTCCAGAATTTGGCTGTTGTTAGTCATGCTGCAGTAAACATAAGAATGCATATTATCTTTTTGAATTAGTGTTTTAATTATAAATTATAAAACCAACACATGTATACCTGTCAACCCAAGAAATGGAACAGCAGTGTTTGAACTTTAGCTGCATCAGAATCACCTGGAAAGCTGCTTAAAATTCAGACTGCTGGGCCCCACCTACAGAGCCTTTGAGTTCATCAATCTAGGGTGAGGTCCAAGAAGTGTCTTTTCTAATGAGTTTCCAGATGATGCCAATGCTGCTGATTTAGGGACTCCCTCTGAGCAGGTCAGAACTAGAACTTCAAATGACAACTGACATAACACCCCTGTGACTCTGTGTCCTGCACCTGTCCTGAGACCCTTAGCTCCCTCTGAGATGTACCTATTTTTGTCATTTTGTGTTCACAATGATGTTAAAGTTTCCCGTTTGAGGTGAAATTCCTATTATGTAAAATTAGTCATTTTAAGTGGTATAATTCTTGGGACGCCTGGGTGGTTCAGTCAATTGAGCATCTGACTCTTGATTTTGGTTCACATCATAATCTCAGGGTTCCAGGATGGAACCTTGTGTCTGGCTCCACACTGTGCATGGAGCCTGCTTAAGATTCCCTCTCCTCTCTCTCCCCCTCTCTCTCTCTCCACCCCTCTCTCCACCCCTCTCTCCAGCTTGTGCTCTCTCCCTCTCAAATTAAAAAAAAATAAAAATAAAGTGTACAATTCAGTGGCATTTAGCACATTTGCAATGTTATCTAACCTCTAACCAGTTCTGAAAGACTGTCATCACCCCAAAGGATACTTGATACATAGTAATAAAGTTTTTAACTTCCAAAATATATGTTCTGGTCAATGATCATATGCTTAAAAAGCAGCTCTCTATGGGACACCCAGAATGTCATCAAACTTGCCTTTGGGAAGGAAACTGGCATCAGAGTAGGCTAGTCCTGTCACTGAATGCCAGCTAGAGCTCAGCAATTAAAAGAAGCTTCTCCTAAAAAGACCCAGTCAGCTCCACAAGGGAACAAGATGAGAGCACTGCCAAGCATCTGATCAGCACCATAGAACTGGACTGGGTCCGTTGAGGTTTCCAAATCACCAAGAGTCAAAGGAGAACAGAGAGTTCCCCTCAATAGAGTGACTGGCTCCATCGACTTGGGAATTCAGCCTAGCCATTCCTGATACAGCCCTGCATAAGCACAGCCTTTCTCTCTCTCTCTCTTTCACAAGCTCACACATACAACCTGGGAGACTTTGTGCTTGAGTAATCAAAGATGGAGATTACACTTCAGGTATACAATGGAATTATCCAAACTACTAAGAGGCTGATAAAGCCCCAAGAGCCCAGATGTTCTTCCAGTTCCTAGGAGAACAGAGTATCTCCCAGTGATACCAAGATAGCTCCTGCAGTTCTGCTTTTGTCCTGGTGATATCTTTCTCCACACCTACTGAGTGCCAACTGATGGTTTAATGTCACTGTAAGACCTATGGGACTGTGGAAGGGTTCGGAATGACACCAGTTCATTTCTCTCCTCTCAACTTTTGAGCCTTGTTCTTTCTATTTCTACAACCCTTTCAACATTTTTTTTCTTGTGGTACACATATTCCTGTAATCTTCCCTCCATGTCTTATTATACAGTTGCAAACTCCCGGATTCCTAGGCAGTGCTGGTCTTGTGGCAAATGATTAGTGAATACATAATGAGAAAAGTAATGACACAACGGTCATTGATTGAGTTCATCTACCATGCTCCTGAACTGCATGTAGCCATTATATAAATTATCTAATTTAATCCTCATGACAACCCTTCAGAGACTATAAGGTACTGATTGACTTGCCCAAGAAAACACAAATTTGAACCTAGCAAAGTTTGGCTCTAAACCTGTTCTCCTCTTCCTGTGACTGAGAAGTCTCTCCATTCATCTGACTCACCTCACTATAACAATAATACATTTTCCTGACTCCAAGATATTTTTTAAAAAACATAAAAATCTCTGTAATTGGCATGTGTATATATGCTTATTATTCTTCATATTCCCAGAAAATCTGTGATGACATTGATGGTGTATCTTAAAAATGATGTCTTCATAGAAGAGAGGAGGTGAGGTAATAAAAAGATTGATAATTACTACCACACAAGGAAAGCTTAATACATAGAAAATGGTACAAAAAGCAGTTTAAACACCATCCCTTGTTTGATTCTAATTATGTATTATACAATGTATAGTACCTCTACAGGTCAAGAGGAGATTGAGGCTGAAAGTAGTCAACTAACTTGCTCAACATCACACGTCCCTTCATTGTAACAGCCAATCTGTAACTACAGCCTATGCCTGAGCCCTTTACTAGGAATAAGGGTATCCCCAAAATGCCAGGCACAGGGCAGGGGCTCAATACTCATTGACTAACTAAATAGCAAATCGTGGGGATTAATCAGCTCAACCAGAGACACTTTGAGTTTGATTTCCTCCATTGTTTAGTGACCAAACCATGGATGTACAGAAGAACTCTCCATTCCTGCCCAGTCCCTAGATGGTTGCAGAAACTTATCTCTAGGACTCCTCCTTTGGAGCAGAATCCTCACAATGTTGGGATGATACAGCTGATACATTTGCTGCCTCTCCAATACT